ATCGAAAATCGCCGACATTCATGGCCTAATAACTGTTATGGCCCAATACCCGTGTTATTCACTAACTCCGCGTCAAACGTGCTATAATAGGAGATGGCGTAATGTGTACGCCATATCATTAAAGCTCTGTTTTACTACGAAAACCATGTAGGTTTAGTATTTGGCCGGCAGATGGCGACTTTTAAGTGTACAGTACTGTACAGCGTTTCTTGGGACAGCTCAAATGGCTTGTTTGCCATACGACGCAAATTACCCTCTATACTGTAGTGATGGGAATTCCGGCTCTTTTTAGAGAGCCGGTTCTTTTGGCTCGGCTCACTAAAAAGAGCCAGCTCTTTTGGCTCCCAAATGGCTCCTCAGTTTTTTTGTTGCTTAAATTAGGTGTCTGTGTGTGTGTGTGTGTGTGTGTGTGTGTGTGTGTGCGTGACGTGTGCGTGTGCGAGTGTGTAACCCTCCCCTCCCTCTTCTACCACGGATCTTGACCAATCACGTGCGGCTTTAACCGAAAGGGGGAAAAAACAGGAGGAAAAAAAAAGTCGGCTCCCATTAAAGCGGCTCCCTCTTAGGAGCCGGCTCATGTCGTTCACTTCAAAGAGCCGGCTCTAAGAGCCGGCTCGTTCGCGAACGACACATCACTACTATACTGGTTTATTTTCCAGGTTCACCTATAAACACCTGTAGTCCATTGTGTGAGTTGCAATACCACACCAAGGTCAAATCAGAAGAGAAGAGCATTTACTCCATTGCGAGTTCCACAACTAAACATTGAAAACGAGCAAATAAACAACATGAAAATAACAAAAGAAAGCAATCTCTGGTTTAACAAACCTTAGCATAGCTGTGTATCTTTGACCGTGCTAACTGTTTAGCGTGGATTTTACTAGGTGTGGTTTACACCTGTTGTAACCATTGTGAGAAATGTTATACTGTAGTTTCTAAAATTGTGACTAGTAATGCAAAGAACAAAACAAAGGCTGTTGTAAACGCGGGAAATACAGGAGGAAACGAGAGTGACGGGGTGATACACAGTGTGGTGGTCAAGGATCTTACAGTACAGAACAAGGGGAGAAGCTGGCTAAAAAAGTACAATTATTAACTCAATAAAGTTGATTCGGCACTCGCTGCTGAAACGATAAAGAGAACTCTGATTTTGGGTGTGAGTCCAATCCCTAATAAATAGAACACATTTATTGGTTGGATACAACATATTTTGTAGTAAAAGCTGTCATAAAGTGTTTCATTGACCGCTCATATTGGATGAATAATTATTTAACACTGCTGACAGTTCAGGTCGTGTCTGTAGTCCACCATTACTACTTTTCAAGAATGAGACAATGGAAAGTCGCAAAGGCGAAGCTTCACCAACGAATAAATATTGATAAGGTCACTGAGAACTAATGACTAATGAGCTCCCACAGTGTGTGCAAGTGCCTTGGTAATCAGTGATGTTCCAATGTCACAGCGTCAAAGCGCAGAGTCAAATTAGTGCTGCTTAACCTGAGTGTTTATTTTTGCTGTGGTTTTACTCACTGTAGATTTAGCGGCTTTGATTTGTAATTCACGACACGACAGTAAAATTTCCCGAATCAAATTTGTGGAAAGTTGACAATTGATTCGTTAATTGTTATTCATATTTTTTTATTAAGAGCACATACTTTTTGCCCAGTATCCTCACTATCCACTTCAGAAAAAAAAGCCTCCCTTTTCTCATCAAGGCTTGTCATTACCACAGTTAGTACAAGCTGCCGTTCGTGCACAGACATTTAGGGGCTAAGAGCTGAGACCATTTGAACTCTGTTGCTAACCAAAACAGCGACACCCACTGTCACACATAAACTCTCAAATAAATTAAAAGTGCAGAGATTTACCACATACTTATGCAGTGTTAAAAATAATCTTACCTTATGCGGGAGACAGCGCTTTTCCAAGTAAATGAAAACAAACAAAATAATGAGACCTTTAAGACGCATTTTTGACATTGAAATAAAATAGAGTCTTTAAAAAAAACAATACATATCAGAAACAACATAATCAGTTTACAAAACTCATTAAAACTGACTGCAGTATAATGATAGCGATAATGTCCTTTGTCTTCATCTTTGCCAGTTTCATACTATGCTTTTTGGGTCAATTTTAAATGTACTTATTTGAGCTGTGCCAGTTTTACCACAGCTGTACAGCCCTACGGCACCTCAAGGTCCAACCATGATGTAACATGTTGACAATCCGGCCTGATGGGGAAGGAAAAAAAAAATACTCGCATGATGGCAACAGCCAAAAGACATTTGCTCAACTTCACTGTGTCGCATCCTTTGTGGATGTTGACCTCAACTCGTGTCATACTGTACTTTTTTCAAAAGCGCCTCAGCTGGTGATAAGAAGTGCAGTCCATTTTGCCTCAATTGCTTCAAGACGCGATGAATCAACAATCATTTTATCAACTAATTGGTTCTTATACCCATCCTTATTTGCAGCAATTCTTTTGAAACATTCTTATGCAATTTCTCTGATATTAGACACCCGCCCACATGCTTATCGAATGGAGTCATGCACACAATAACTACAAGAATCCTTCCAGTTTGCTGCACCCGTTGCCATGGAGATTTCCATTGCTGTCCGTGCCATCGTGATGGAACATCAAAAGCACCACCGTCATTAACCACACGCACACACATGCAGACAGTGGATGCACAGATGCTGCACAATCCTCTGGGAAGATGGAAACACTGACTTGTTTTTGATTCCCCCCCACCCCTCAACTCGAAAAACACATAAAACATTAGAAGAACTGATATAAAATTGCTCGATATACATTCAGATTTTTTTAATAAGTTTAGTATGGCCGAATAATGACGATAAAAAATAAAACTGCCCCTACTCCTCCTAGAGCCATAAAATGAGCAATGTGTTAATTATTGAGGTGTTTCAAATGTCTTGTCCTTGGAGTCCAGATAAAGTCTTCCCCCAACATTGTAAGCGACAAAGCAGGTGAATCCCCTCCCCCCACCCTTAAAAAAGGCACCATAATTAACAAACATGAAACTCTCATTTAAGGACAGCAAAATATCAACAAATCGAGACTGAGTGTTTATGTCCTCATAGCATTTTGTGGTCTTTTTTTTTTTTTTTTTTTTTCAAAATTCCATCTGGCAATTTACCAGAGCAGGGTGGAAATTAAGATCAGATAATAACACATTTATCTTTCAAATTGTTGAAGTAGCATGTGGCTCCTTATCCAAGGTTATTTCTGAATAGGGCTCCACTCCAAATAACTGGAAACAATTCTGTTTGTGGTCAGGAGGCAGCTCTTTGCTTAGCGTAAATGGCACTGCAAGTGCCGTATTAGTCTGAAAACACTGCGTTTAGTCAGGCAATTCTTGGTGTTTCCCAGGATCTATGAGAAAATCTCAACAACTAAGCTCTAGCTCCAGCTTTCTAATGCACACGGTCTAAATTTAGGCCATGTTTTGCTCTGATGGCCAACTGTCAACTTGCTTGCCTGCATTTTCTATTATATAACCCTGATTTGAAAATGCACTAAGTGTGCCATGAAACATGTAGGCCAGGAGGAGCTCATAGGATGTCGTTTCAGTTCACACGGCAAGCTCGATGACTCACCGCAGTGCCCTCACGCATCACCGAACAGCAACGGTGGGGGGGCTCTTCCAGGGTCGGCTTGAATGTGCAGACCTACTCTTGCATGTTTTACTAAGGAGTGCGTTTGTAATTCAACTGTGAGAATAACACTATCCGATATCTTTTGGGATTTTTTTTTTTTGCTTTCTTCCTGTTTTGTCAGCTGATAATTTTCTCTCCACAGCGACATAAGATTTTATGAGAGGTCAAGCAAACCATGCAAACTAACTGGGGCACCAGTCATCATTAGCAAAGCATGCCAAAAGACAAGAAGCTGTTGTTGGTGTTCGTTCGGGCTATGAGTTGGTTAAGTTAAAAAAAAAACTGCCTGAGTGTACTTTAAAAGGTTGTGTTGTATTTGTCTTGCATTTTAAATGAGGTGATCCGTCTCTTCTGACAAATGTGGTGCATTCTGCCGACAGCACGTCCTACCCTTTAGGTGAGTAGCACTGTGTCAGATGAAGAAGAAGAATCAAATAACCAAAAGAGTAAAAAACAGTCTCGTGCAGCTTTGATGTGAAAAGTCTTCTTATGCAACAACTTTGATATGAGTGTAATGATTTCCCCCTAAACTTTCTTTACATGCGTGCGCAGTACGGCAACATCATTAGCAATAGCATTGGCAGCTAGCAGGAAGACTCAAGTCCCATTTTCGGCACATCCATCAACAGATTCGCACCTCTGAATCGTGAACTCCAGCTGTGAAAGCACCTTTCCATTAAACGACTAATAGAGGTGAACTGCATGAAAAGCTTCTTAACAATGGCCGACACAGATAGGATAACGTTCATAGTCGTCGACATCATCCGAAGGGTTCTCCCTTTGAAATCTCTGAGGTGCACCTCATTATCTCCACCTTCTTTTCTAATAGAGATGATAGAGATAGAGGTCATAAAGATGTATTGTATTGTATTGTGTTTGTTTTAGACTGAAAAGACTGAAAGTGACACCGCAACAAAGAGCTGCTGCAAGGTAAAGATCATGTGCTGCATGTGCTGCAGTGACTCAGCAAGAGATGATACAAAAACACACAAAATCCTATGAAGAAAAAAAAACAGTAAGCATCGGTGCCATTAGTGTTTTCACACCTCTCCTCTTTCCCTTGCAAATAAGAAACAATCTGATACGGAACAGGAGGGATGGATGATGTCTCAAAAGGTGGAGGGGGGGGTTACATGTTTAAGCGATGGATGGAACACGAAGGAGGAAACCCCTTCGACTGGTTGCACACGGCACACAGCACTGCCGGGCTGCAGCACGACACGCACACACACACACACACACACACACACACACACACACACACACACACACACACACACACACACACACGCACACAGGAATGGTGTATGATGGAGGAGGAGGAGGAAGGGCGAGCTATGGAGTGAGCGCGAGAGGAAGGGGGTAAGATAAGCTGAGCGAGCAGCATCCCTTCATTCGGCTCGCAGGAAGTCAGGAAGCGGCAACCTTAGTTTGAGGACGGAAGAGCAGCAGCATCTCACCCACAGGGGGCGACGACACCCCTCTCTCTCTCTCTCTCTCTCTCTCTCTCTCTCTCTCTCTCTCTCTCTCTCTCTCTCTCTCTCTCACTCTCTCTCTCTGTCTTTCTCTCTCACACATACGCATCGCACACATGCATTCGTGAGAAGCCCGGCAGGAGGAACAACAGCGTGGAGAGCAGTCTCCTGAAGACTGGAGCAGGGCTGCGTCCATCGCCTCCATCCATTGCTCCCTATGCTCTCTGTCATTCTTCGCTTGACCTCGGATTCTCACCTCTCCGCTTCACCGTGAACCTCTCTGTCCGCTCGCGCGTGTTCTCGTTCGACGACTAACCAAAAGAAGGAAAAGGAATTCCCAACGCCGCCATGAACTTCCTCCGACGCCGCCTCTCCGACAGTAGCTTCATGTCCAACCTGCCCAATGGCTACATGTCGGACCTCCAGAGGCCAGACCCACCTGCGCCCCCTCCTCCGACCGCCTCGTCCCCATCCCAGCAAGGTCCCGCCGCGTCCCAGGCTCCTGCCCAGTCTCCCACCCAAGGCTCCTCTCAGGCCCCCGTCAGCTTGCCGGCTCCTCAGGAGCGCCGCCCGTCCCAGCAGGCTCAACAGCAGCCTCAACAGGCCCAGTCCTCGGCCTCAGCCACTTCCTCCTCCGGTGGCTCCTCTGGGTTCTTCAGCTCCTTCAGTTCCATCACCAACGTAGTCAAGCAGACGGCGGCGTCTGCTGCCGGTTTTGTGGAACAGTCAGCTCCCTCTCCTTCCCTTTCCAAGAAGTTTAAGATCCTCCTAGTCATTGATGAGCTGCAACATGAGTGGTAAGTGACTTTTGGGATGGTAGGTAGGTCTTTATGGTGTGCTCTTCGAGTTTGGTGCAGTAATATGCTAATGGTCAGTTTGAAATCCAAAGTAATCAGCACCACAGACATGGAATATTACTGTCATTTTTGTTGTTGCTCCATTTTTCACACACCAGATAAGCTCCCAAAATAGAAAAAGCCTCGTAGTTGAGTTTTTCCTCATGGGGTCACATGTATAGTGCTTGCTTTCACCAGCCTGTGTATGTGTGCATATGTCAGAGAGCTGTGAGTAAGTGTTTCATCCCTGGATAGCTCACATTGGTGAACGGGTTATTATCCTTATGCTAACAGCACATAAATCACCCGCTGTCATCGAAGGGGCATGTAAGCACTGAATAAATCATCACGCTAGACGGATGTATTGTGTAATAACATTTGTAATTCCCTGGTGGCTTTCTGGCACTTCAAGTCACATGTAAAGTGTATGGATTGTATCGTAAATTCAGTTCTTGGAGATCGATTGTGTGATTGATGTGGTGTATGAGATTGTGTTGTTGTTGATAGCGTCAAGGCAAGTGATTTGGTGGACATCGTGTCCTGCCTGACACGGGTATTTTGTGTTGCTCAATATAAGTTCTATGAGTTGATCAATTATCAATACTGCCTTTGCTGTTCAGAGTCACAGAATCTATCCTAGCTTACTCAGATCAGATCGAAAGGCAGACTGCACCCATGACTAGATCAATCGCTGAGAAAATGAAGCCACTCCTCTCACTGTAAGGATTCGACATGTATTCTTCTTGGTTCCATCCGTCAAACAGGAGCACTTCATGGGTCATAGGCTACCACCATGGCAGAACAATCAGACCAGATTGTGATAGATTCCCCCTACCTAGCTTAGTGGCTAGCGTAATCATGGACTCTTTCACACAGAGATACAGCGAAATAGTAACACCGCAGCCATAACAGAAGATCTGGCAATAAACCATCAATGCTATTTACACTATGAAGGAGAGCTATTCCCTCAACTGTGTCCGCTTTTTATCGAGCAATCAGTCTATTAAATATATGTCAACATTAGCCTCGGCATCTGGTGTCACATATAGAATGCTTTGCGGGCCGCGGTAAATGCTTTCAATACAACGGTGCAGGAGAATTGAGTGTCAAGTATGAAACTTCACACCCCTCTCCCACCATTTCAGCATTGACAATTCCATACCTGTCAACCTTTCGGAGCGCCAACCCATATAAACTACCAAAAAAATCCTTATAAAGAGCAAAAAATCCTTATAACATACCAAAGCATTTTATATGTCAAAATAACGGCAGAAAAAAACCCACGAAATTTTTAATGATATTTATTGTAGATCTCCATAATACAATGGCAGGTGAATTTCTCATCATCATTCTACTTAGTGGCATTACTGTGTTCAGAGTTGTATTACTGTGTTACTTTTTTCACCAACTCCAAATGCTGACCCATCGGCTCGAAGTTACAGCATCCATTCATATTACTTTGCACTGCAATAATGCTGTCAGTGTTTCTGGTGCAAGCGATTTTCGGAAATCTGTGTGAACCTTTCTCACAACACTGAAGACTCTTTCAGAGTCTGCATTGCTGTGAGGTAAGCAAAGTAGTGCTTCCATCACTTTGCTGAGATGATGAAACATTGGTTTGCCCATGGGTTTGCCCATGATTTACTGGAACGTTACCGGAAATGAAAGCATTCGAGTAGACGAGCACCATTCTGGGCAAAAGCAAACGGAACTACCTGTTAGGGGGGAAAAAAAAAAAAAAAAAACGGAAATTTTCAGAATCCGTATGATTTGTGCGATATGGCCATATACATGAGATTCACCACAAAATCCGTATAAAATATGGCTAAACCGTATGAGTTGACAGGTATGCAATTCATACAGGCATCATCGGGTCTCTGTCACAGCTCTGTTAATCCGGCTAAAGGTGGAGGAGACTCGATCCTTCCATTCCACATTGGTGCTGTTTACACACAAGACTGACCCAGTTAAAGGAGGATACATCGAGATTTTAACACGCAGCGCAATCCAGGATAAAAGAGAAACACGGCAGGAAACAGCCAAATGAACCAGCGGTAACTACATTGGCTAGCTTATCGTGTTATCAGGTCACAGGGTGCATGAAAGGGTTAAAAAAAAAACAACAGTCAAATGAATTTTATAAAGGTACATCACAGTCATATAGCAGAAATACCGACAATAAGCCATGTTCTGCGTACGCTGCATATAATTCAGAAAAAGGCGGGACATAGCCGTAACGGCGTCCAGTTTCACAGACTGACACAGCACCCTGCAATCAGATAATTAGATGACTCTAGTAACAACATCTGGTGTGACATAAAAACAAATACTTGCCAGACAGAGGTAATTGTTTTTTTACCAAAGCGGAAAATTGAATGTTGGATGTGAAATTTCCTATCCGGTCCCGCCATCAAAATATGCTTACACACAGGTGACATCCCACCTCTCAAGGCTCCTATACTGCCTTGAAATGTGTATCACTGTATCGTTGCTGTTCATAACCAATTGTGATTTGAACAACATTGTAGGAGCATAACCTCTATCACCTTTTGGCCTTGGCACAGTCAACGAGTGTGAATAGAAATGCTTTCACAGTCCATCCATGAATCCATCCATTTTCTGTAGCGTTCATCCTGTTCAGCGTCTCGGGGAGCTCGACCCTACCCTGGCTGACTTCAGGCAAAAGGAGGACAACATCCTGGAGAGGTTGCCAGTCAGTCACAGGGCATATATTTATACATACTGTATATACTGTGTGTATATATATATATATATATATAGAGAGAGAGAGAGAGAGAGAGCGAGAGAGAGAGAGAGAGAGAGCGCGAGAGAGAGAGAGAGAGAGAGCGCGAGAGAGAGAGAGAGAGAGAGATAAAACAAACATTCACACTCACAGTGTCAACCACACTAAACCACCGGTGACCTACTTTTACAATTTAAAAGTTATTTTGTTTTCACGAACCTTCAGACTGTTTTGTTCTCTATCCCCACTACAGGCCCGTGTAATTATTTTCATGCTGGTAACTGGTCCCATGGTGTCAAATAAATAAATACATAAATAAATAAATAATGGCACCACTGTGTGGGTGGACTCTCATCTCATGGTCTGTGTTAAAGTCCTGAAGTCAGCTATGTGGCTCGCTAAACTACCGATGGAAATTGCTTTGGTCATTCATTAGGATTTTTAAGCACATTCATTTCTCTCAAAAAAGTAAGGCAAAAGTTGTTTATTTACTGCTGTTCTTGAGTGTGACGTGCGCACCACACGTCACAATATCTCCACCGACAATCGCGGGCGGGCCTTCTCCATAAAAACCACATCTGTTGTAGTACCAATAATGACCTGTGAGATGCAGCATGGTGCCAATGGGCGTCCAGACTACCGAAAATAAAAAGAAGAAAGCAGCAATGGAAAAAGAAATACAGGTAACAGGTCAGCTTCTTATAACGATATACTTCGACTTGTTGGACACTTTATACAAAAACGCAACACAACCAGTTGCTTCTTCTTTTGTGTTCATTATCAGCCCGAGCTTCTGAACGCTCCATATTTGGATAGAATCGTTCGGTTTCCTGTCAGAGTCACAGTCTGTGGCTCGGCTGACATCGGTGATGACCACACAAAAGGATTTGTGATCGTAAACGCTGAACCATTTTAACATTTACACTTGTCAGCCACAATGATTTTTTTTTCTATCCAGATCGGGGAGGAACATTTACTTTGAACACACCACACACATCACATAGAAAATCACTCTGAATAATCGTTTAGGCAATCAGTGAGTCAGGCTTTTGTTGACTTTGTCAGTAGGGAAGGGGGGGGGGGGATGCTCTGTGCTACGGGTAGGCAATGTGTCGACTTCACCACTCCACTGTGATGGTTATAGCTTGAGGTCGAATTCCTGCCAATGGACGCCCATTCAAAAAACTTAAAGTCGTTGAAGCCCTTCTCGGCACACCTCTTTAGTTATAGCATCTTGAACATTTTGAAACAAGGACTTAATGTCGAGGCTGTCTCTCCCACTGCAAACTGAAAATGAAAACTTGAAAATGTGTTTTCAAACCCCGCAACCGTAGTGTAGACATTAGGAACAAACAGTTGAAATTGAAGAGGAATCATTTTCACTGTTACAATAACTCCTAGAAATGACGTCTTTTACAACCTCCAACATTTTGCATGTGACTGCGTGTTTTATTCAAGGAGGTGCCAGTACACAGTGCTGGCCTGAATGCGAATATGAATGGCAGCTCTGCAGTATGTTAATCCTGCGTCGCCTGCTGCGAGTGTTTTGGTGCCATATGATTGGATGCGGCCACCCATGATGCGGTGACGACCAAATGTGAGAAGACTCCGCAGCCTGCATCCATAAAAGCATTGCATTTGAATGCATGGCTGAGCAGAATGCAGTTCTCCTTTTATGCGATCTGTGCTGTTTGTATTTCATTTGCAAAATACGCGAGGCTCTGATTTAGATTATTTATTATTTACATTTTAATATAGGCTACTTGTGCATATGGATGTGTTTGCAATCATTTGTGCTTGATGAATGCAGTGACTTTTGCAAATCTGTGATCCTAAAGGTCTGAAGGGCAATTTTAATTGAAAATATACACTGCATAATGAAAAGAAAATGGTAACGTCAGAAAATTACAATTTATATTAAGAAGACTCCGTATGATGATAAATTAAATCTCACTTCTATCATTGCTTCTGGCATATAAGCCAGACAGACATTCTACTAATGTTATTGATTTTCCACTTGGCCAAGAACAACACATGAGACGTTCATGCTCTTAACTTCCAAAACAACAAACTGTTCGAAACCCCTCCTCTAGACTAATTTCTATCATTATTATACCATGTCATCAAACAGTGGTGCCATCACACAATAAATCACCAACTTTATCATCTAGTATCTCATTTTCAAACAGAAAAACAACGATTAATTGTAATGTAATAT